CTCTCTCTCTCTCTACCTATAGCTTGCCTAACTTCGGTATCCTACATATGTTTGGAAATTTTGTTATAAAATTATTTTTATTCATAATATATATAAATCCATGATAAAGTATCAACTGTATCTGTGATTATGCATAGTATATTTGTCGAATGTCTAATGCTTTCTTCGCTTTTCGCGATCTTCCCTCTTGTCGCGATCGTCTCTACTTCGCTTCGTTGTTGTCGTAGTCGAGCTGCTGGCGCGTTTGGCCTGTTTCAAGAACTGATCCAAACCGAACGGATCCTCCTCATCTTTCTCGAACTGCACTGGTCCGGAACGCGTGGCCGATCGATCAGTTCCGCTGAATTCCTTGTCCGGAACAAATCTGAAAGACGAAGAAACAGGTTGAAATTTCGCACGGCATATATTTATTCGCGGATCTAGAATAAAATTCATTCGTTTAAAATTCAACGACGCTGCACAAGCACACGGATGTAGAAACACGTTCTCACCTGTTTGTCTTAACCAGTTTCTCAAGATCATCGCCGTAAGTGTCTTTATCGATATTCTTGCTAGGACGATAAATATGCGAAGCGATGGAATTGCTGTCTTTCCATGGTTTGTCGTACACGTTGTATTCGTCATCGTGACCGTAACCGCTATCCATGCCTTTGCTAGTGTTGAAAAGACGTTGATCGAACTGTGCTTCTCCAGTATTCGGAATGCTCTTCGCGGGCAAGCCAAGTGCGATCTGTTCACTAATGTCGCGTTCACGCTCACGTTGCAGACGAGATCGTTTGTCAGGTGCGGCGCGTGCAAGATTGCGTTCACGGGCGCGATCTTTATGTCGTTCTTGTCTGAGTTGATCTCTCTCGCGTGACTCCTCGCTTTTATCTGTAAAAAATAGCTCAGTAAGTCTTCGGGGAACATACTTCTCGTCGCTTCGATCTAGTTTTCTGAAGCCTTTTTTTTCTCTTTCATCTTGTCTATAGTAATTACACAAACCTAACGCTGTAGCGGTTTTCAAGCCAGCACGTTCTTCTCTAGCTTTTTGCGCGAGTTGTCTCAAATGGTCCTCCTTCTTCTCTTTCTCCTTCTGAGCCAGTTTCTTCTCTAACTGTGCTCGCATCTCTACAGCTTCGCGGGCTTTCCTGTCCGCAATATACAGAGCTTCTGCTAGCTTTGCGAAGTTCTCGTTGATATGAACTTGTTGCAAGCCACGGCCGTCTGCAGCCAGACGCTTGTCCAATGGAATTGTATAACCCTGAAATTAAATGAAGTTTTCTTTAAATGTCAGGCGAATAAGATATCTGTGTCTATTATTTTACATTCGGTAATTTCGGTAACTTTTTTTCACGTAGTTGTACACGATGCTAAAATTATCGCAACCATTTCCCTTGTTTACTTCGATTAGAGAGATTCGAAGTTTCGACGTCAAGCGGTCGCGATGTAAGTCGGAACCAGCTAAGATGTGCGAATGTCTCGCAGCTACTCGAATATTGAATTATCTCGGACATCACGATTAATGTCTTTCAACATACTTTTGCATTTTTCCAATTACTTATGCACGGTGGAATTTTCCATTCTTTCTGTTCCTTCACTGTCACTTTCCTGGTAGGAGAATGTATGACGGGCGCTGGAGGGGACGGAGGTCCTCTTGGAATCTTTTTGTTAATCCTGCAATCATGTATCTTTAGATTAATATACCTGGCAGTTGTATCTTGTTGCTTATCAGATCCCGTATAATTTCTATAATTTAGTTATGCTACTTCTTGATTCTACATACTTAAACTTCGGTGGCTCCAAAGGGTCCACTTGCGCTTCCACCATTCTGATTACTCGTTGCTTTGCACCCGAGTTGAATGATTGTCCTTGCTGCGATGGTGTATAGCGAATGTACTGAGCCGGAGCTTGTTTCTCGGCGCATCTCACGGGCATGGCGGCCGCGATTTTTGATCTCGTTATCTTCTCTAAAGCCTTCTTCGTCTTGTCCGTGAGATCATCGATTTCGTCGTCGGTTGGCCGTTGCAAAGTAGGATCCTCCTCGTTTGTAATTTCCGATGGCAATAAGTCGCTTAATTTGCTATACACAATCTGTAAGAGAGTTTAAGGGAAACATTAGTGAGGAATAAATATAGGATATACCAGAGAAAATGTAGTTGTAATATATTAGGTCTGTCAAAAAGCTTGGTTCAATTTTTTGCTTTATTTGAGTGTATCAATCATCTTTTATGGTGTAGGTATATAAATGCTGTTAGAATATTGGTTTGAAACCAAAAAATCAAATTGAGCTTTTTAACTGATCCAGTAAAAGAGGATAAAATTTACCTTATCTTTACCATGGCCTTGTCTTGCTATCAGATCATACTTGACTTTTCCTTGAGCATCAAGTTGCACTGCTAAGGCATTGCTTGTTGTTTCTTTGCCTTTCATCCCCATTCCAAGTGGATACTGTGCAACATGAATCTCGGGAAAAGCTCCTCCATCTCCAAAGTCCTATATATAACAATATATGTATTACTTTTCAGAGTATGATAAGTATCATTGTTACTATCAATTTAATTCAGTGTTAGATACTCATGTATAATTCAATGCAAATGTATTACATAGGTAATATAACAATCACTTACTTCTGGGTTGCGTGGCACCCATCCTCGTCGTTGTCCATAAGGTGGAGCGGTGACAACAGCTTTGACCAGAGCTGAAACAGGTCGCTGGCGCAATTTCTGTTCACGTGCCTCATCCTCTCTATCCCATACCACTTGGGTGGGTGCAGGTAACAAACTAATTTCAAAAAGAAATGCAGCTATTATACACAACTGTTACAAAATAAATGTCAATTAGGTTAGTATGTTTGTTTCAATTACAGTTATAATGTATGTAGTTTTCAATTACAAAAACAAAAATATAAGAAAATGGAAGATAAATATTGGTGAAATAATTTAGTAATGAAAACAGATTCTTACTTTGTCAAGGACATGGCTGTACTAATCACTTGATGGTGCTTGATGGTGCTTGACTCTCTTCTATTAGTTAATAGATCTTCTGTTAGTTAATAGATTAATAAAATATTAAACAACACTTTTACATTATTCACAAACACGCCAAATTTCGTGTAATAATTTGTACGTATACTAAAACTCGTACTTGTACTCGTATTTGTACGTATACTATTCTCAGCTAAGATTAAGATATATAACCTAGAAAGATCAAATCTTACAGTTTTCTCTCTCTCTCTTTGATTGCAAGCCTATACTCGGTGGCCCTTTCACCACACACTATGGGAATTTATAGGAAGAGGTTTTATACGTTTTGATTTGTTTCTTGCAGGAAATTTAAAGTAGGATTGGTAAAGATGAAATTGGAAAAAATCTCACAAAGCAAAATATGGTAGTTTGTCTACTTGTCGTTATCAGCATTATGAACAGTAGAGGTTCGTAGCGGAAACATTGAAATTAAAATATGGAGTCTAAAAAAATATGGTACAGGATCACATCGCGTCCAATATCCTGGTCATGTGACCAGCTACTCAGCTATTCTGCGATTGGTTGGCATAAACGTACGGATTTGGACATTGCGACGCCGATGCAAAACCATATATATATATA